TTGCTTGAGAATAATTAATGTAAATCTATACTCTTTAGAGTAGAGTATGGATTTCACCACGATGATGCAATACCTGGAGAAGGGTGCAAGCACAGATCATAAGTTGTACAGCTTGTACCATAACCAATACTACAAAATCATCCAAAAAGGAGAAAAGAATAGAAAAAGAAAAGAAGAGAGAAAACTGAAGAGAAAGATAGCTAGGCAGTGAGATGGAAGTAAATATTTACAAAGTTTGCAACTAAGCATGTGTTGTTGATTGCTTCCTCGATCTGGCTTTGATATATTCTCTAAATATGCAGTAGATGTAGATCTCCTTTTGAGTGGTTTTATATGTGAAGAACAGAAGGACAACGAAAATTAACTAAGGCACAATAAAAGGAAAAACAATAATGCCCTTGATGTGAAGTCAACCCTCTAATCCCGTAAGTTTATGATGATGAGTGCAATGTCTCAAATTTTGAAGTATTTATATAATTTATGTTTTAAGTTCTTGAGGATATAGGTTAATGTTATAATAATATATTGTTTTAATATTAATTAATATAAAAAATAACAAAAATTAATACTAATTTTATTATTATTGTTACGTGTATTATTTTAAAATTTTGTCTAATTTGTACCTTAAGAGCACAGATTAAAGTATAATAAATATACATTTTTATAATTAATTTTCATAAAAAATCATAAAAATTAACTTTTATTTTAGTGTCAATGTCACATAGATAATTTTAATTAGTCAATTAATTAAATTTAAATTATCTTTTGTCAATTTCTATATACATTAATTATAAAATGGTACATTTATTGCACCCTTATCCGGTGCACTAAGGGTGCAAGATAGAAAATCCTTTATTTTAATTAGACATTGATTAAATAAATATCTAATTTTATTTTTTTGATAACAATTAATGTTAAAAATGTATTTTTAAGGTACAGATTAAAAAACATAATTTTGAAACATAGGTATAATTTAAGTGGCATATAGGTTTAATGAAAAATAAAATTTTTAGACAATTAAGGAATAAGGATTATAAGAAATTATTTTTTAAAATTAAAATGAAAATTATTTTAAAATTATAGTATTGTTTTAATAAAGGATTATAAGAAAAAAATAGTTTAATGTATATTTTTAAAATAATGTATTTTAATCTTTATAGTAAAAATTTATTAAAATTATATAATTTTAGAATAATTTTTTCTTTAATTTTTTTAAAAT